AGGATTGTAGGCGTCCAAATGCCACAACACTCAGAGGAGCTGAGAGTTAGGGCTGAGGTGGCTTTCCTGCTCAATTAGATTCCAGTTGAAGGAAACAGGCAGCAAAGCCTCCTCTGACTACTCTGATGTCCACAAGTGTTAGTAATGTTTAATGTTGGATTGACGTTTGGTTGAGCTGAAGGCTGGTCCGATAAATGGATCTATAGGAAAATGGGAAAATGTTCAGGATTCCCAGGGGTCTTAGAAAAACTCAAAGGTGTTTTTGGATATGTGAAAAAATAAAATAGTACCATACCTATTATTGTGAAAATGATAAAAACAAGGGCTTCAATCCTGTGGAAAGCCCTGTCTTGGATTTTTGTTGGTGATTGATTTCCATTTATATTAAAGCTTGTGTGATTAAAATGTTATGTGATTGAGGTCACATAACAATTCTGAAACATTAGTGTTTTTATGTTTAAATGAGTGTGAGAACTCTGCCTATTCCCAGTTCCTGTTCCTATTCCTTTTCCCTAGTTTCATTTTAGCCGTGCTCTGCAATTACCAGAGCCACGTTTCCTCCTCTCCTTCAGCTCTGAAAAGGTGTCTGAGTGCTGTTCTGGTCACGGCTTCCGCTGTTGCTATGAGATTGAAGGGTAGTGTTCTTTGAAGTAAAAGCTGAAATCATTTTTTATGTCTTTTATTGCTGTGTTTTCTCTGCACTGAAAGCCCACTAAACTTTGAGCACTGTGGGGAACTCGCAGCAGTGGCAGCTGCTTCGGTCAGACCTTGGTGTGGATGATCTGACTCCCAGAGTTAATACCAGGTGAGTGTTTTCCTAACCAGCAAGCTGTCAGGGCATTTAACTGGAGTAGGCAGCTTATTTCAGCACAGCAGATGGTCTGTACATACACACTTTTATGCCCATGTCCAGCTCAGAAGCAGCTAGTAAATCACCTTTAAGAGCTTCTGACCGCCACCTTGCTTTTCTTCTTTTTTGCTCCACTCAAATTAACAGTGACAGCTTAAGTGAAAAGCTCTTACTGTATGACTGGCATTTTGAAAGCTGTGGCTGACTGAGTCCAATAACATTGGTGTTGAAAGTTGTGTAAAAACAGCTAGTGGCCTCACAGTCTGATGTGTCTGACCAGAAGACTGTACTGTACTTTCCAGAAGAAGTGAACTAAATCAGAATCAGTGCTTTCAGATGTCCTTGAACAAGGCATTCACCTCCAGACTGGTGAGCTATACAAGCCACAGTCTGTCACACTGACGGCTTCGTTGTGAGATTACTAAAGGTTTTTGATGCTTTAGTTTATTTATTTTTTTCATTGCACTTCATGATAAATTAATTATACACTGTGTAAGTGTGTGAGAATGGCTTAAATATACATACACCTGTCTGTATGTAATATAGCACTAAAATGGCTAGAGTGTCAGAGATTATATGGAAAATGTATTCTAGTTGATATGACCATAAAAAGCCATTTGTTGTTGTTGCAGTATACCACCCACTTTCTACAGCAAATGACAGAATATCTCATTGCTATCTTATAGTATGTAATGCTATGTTTTTATACGTAATTTGGAGGCGACAGTGGTGCGGTGGGTAGAACAGTTGTTTCCCAACTGGAAGGTTGGAGGTTTGAATCTTGGTTCCTGCAGTCCACATGTCGAAGTGTCCTTGGGCAAGACACTGAGCCCCCCAAGTTGCCCGTGATGGCGGGGTGTACGCATGCAGCGGCCTGGGGCCCTCGGCTCCAGGCGAAATTTCGTTGTATGTGTCACAATGACAATAAAATAAAGCTTCTTTTAATTTTAAAGCCCCCCTGACACAGCCAAACAATCCATCGTTGAAGCATGATTGGGAAAATGAGCATTTCTTTCTTAATTTCTTAAAGCCTTTTCTTGTGATGTGTGGTTTGCATCTGACAGCTGCAAAATGAAGTGCTGGTGGCAAACCAGTGCACTGCAGCAAGGATAACCTTGACTCGAGCTGTCACTGTGGATTTATTCAGCTAATGCTATAGGAACCAGCCTTGGACAAAACTAGATCAAACGCTAGATCTGTTCGCACTTGCAACTGGCTCAGTCGATGATGCTTTTGGAGATTTCTGAGTGGGCTATGTGTGCATGTCAGCATGTAGGAGAACATGTGTGTGAGTTTGCACTCTATGCCTTTCCACATCAAGGGGTTGTGCTTTTTAGAAGTGGCTCCTCTACTGCCTCTCAATCCTGGCTAGCAGGCATCCTCTCGCTGCCCGTGGGGAACCAGAGAGACATCCACACCTGATCCCCTGTGCACTGACAACTTACCTGCCTTAGAGGCTCCTGTCTGTTGGCCAGCACAGCACAGCACAGTGCCAGCCTAGCCTACTTTCCTGGAGCCTCTTGTTTTGTAGAAAAGTGTTAGTGAGAAAATGGCTTTTCAAAAGATGGAGTGAACCTTACAGGTGGTCTCCACAGCGGTTAAACTGAGGGACAGAAAAAACAGTGTAGAGGGTAGAAAAAAGAAGAGATGGAGATAAGATGAGAGAGAGGGCAAAGATGACATCATGTAGGAAGGAAAAGGAGGCAGAGGAGAGGAGCAAAACAAGGAGAACAAAATAGTAAGGGACAGAATGTATGCTGATATACTGAGCTTCACATCAGTCTGACTAATTAATGTTACAGATAATACAAATCTTTTCTTTCCAATTCCATTCTTTCTAATGGAGGAGTAACCAGGAGAAATTGTTAATGCAAAGGAAAAGGGTGTGCTGGATTTATAACACAAGGCGAAATGAGAGCATTATTGTGAAATGGAATTGGCCCAATAATCATTTTATCTTGATTATGTTGGTTTCACTGGAAGCAAGAATCATAACTGAAAATTATGCCGCCACTTAATTTTTC